TCAATTTGGTGAAGCAAAAGCAAGAGAGCTGAAGGTGAAGCAAGCACATTTGGCAAAGGCAAAGGATGATATAAATCCAAATTTGATAGAGGTGTCTGAACGTGTCCCAAGAAAAGAGAAGCCCAAGGAGCCAATCCCAGATGTTGAGTGGTGGTACGTAATTTTTCTCACTTTGCCCTTTTTGTTAACGCTAAGATGTTTTGTTGCAAATGTTCATCTGATTTGAGAATAGCATGGCAAAACCTTGAGGAAAATATAAGTCATACTACACTTATGCAACTTTTGGGGTATTAGATGAAAGTGATAGTACATAAAACAAATCTTGCTTACGTGCTCAGCAGTTTGTGATCAGCATCAGTGTGATTTTACTAGTAGACTATGGGAACATTGAATTCACTTATAAATAGTATAGTTGGTCTGGCTGTTTTGTGCAACTTGTCAGTTTTGTTGGTTTGTATCACTGGTTTTTTTTTTCAGTATATGTTCGTGATGGGGTTTCTTAGTTGATAATTACTTTGTGTTTCAGGGATGCAAGTGTCCTCATCAATGGTGTCTATGGCGACATAGCTGATGATGCTGTTACTGAAAGTCATCTGAAGATAGAAAAACTCACTCATTACGTTGAGCATCCCCGTCCCATAGAGCCACCTGCAGAGGCAGCGCCTCCACCACCCCAGCCGCTTAAACTGACAAAGAGGGAACAGAAGAAACTGCGAACACAAAGACGCCTAGCAAAAGAAAAGGAGAAACAGGAGATGATCAGACAAGGGTTGCTTGAACCACCAAAAGGAAAGGTGAAAATGAGCAACCTAATGAGGGTTCTTGGATCTGAAGCAACCCAGGACCCAACCAGGCTTGAGAAAGAGATCCGCACAGCAGCCGCTGAGCGTGAACAAGCTCACACCGACAGGAACGCAGCACGGAAGCTAACCCCTGCAGAGAAACGTGAGAAGAAAGAGAGGAAGCTTTTCGATGATCCAACAACAGTTGAAACAATAGTGTCGGTGTACAAGATCAACAAGCTATCGCATCCAAAAACAAGATTCAAAGTGGAGATGAATGCAAGGGAGAACAGATTGACAGGGTGTAGTGTGATGACTGAAGGAATGAGCGTTGTTGTGGTTGAGGGTAAGAGCAAAGCGATAAAGAGATATAGGCAACTGATGCTTAAGCGTATCAAGTG